CTTTTGTAGGAGCAATCCCAAGACATGGAGCTTGAGTCATACCTGTAGTCAATATGTCATCTTTAGTTATTACTGAAATTATTGTAAGCAAGGTGATTTTTAATCTCATATTACAACCATATTTTGTGCGAAGATGGATGGAATGCTAAGGAAAGTCACTGAAAACCAAGGTTATAACAGACTTTGCATGAATGGGGCTTTGCTCCTGGGTACTAGCTTCTACTAGGTTGTTTCATTCCCATGGCTACCATTGTCCCTGCTTGTATCTCAGCACTCCCGGACTTTCTGAAGGAAGGACTCACTTCTCTCTCTCAATGTATACACGATCATGAATGCAGTTGGACTGTCTCTCAGGCTGTACCACCTTGTTCCCAACTATTTTTTCCCTTTGTGTAAAAAATCCCTGGTTAGCACATTCATGTAGTCAGATGAAAAGAGAAATGCTTAGAAAGTCTGGAAACTGCATTCTGTTTCCAGCTTTTTGTAAGAGTAGCTGTGGGCCTTCTCTATACTTAATGTGTGATTTCATCAGTGTAGAAATTGCCAATGAAGAATCTCCTTTTACTAATAAAGATCTGAAACTGCTCTGCCTTTTAAAATCTTGGAGAGTTGCTTGGAGACATTGAGAACTAAGTGACTTAGCCAGGCAGGGACTGCCTGGTAGTGTCCACCACCTGGCTTCCCTCTTTTCTTCAAGTCTCAGCTCAAGACCTTCCTTCAGAAAGAACTCTTTCCCAGTCAGTCCTCCCTAATCTTAGTGCCTTCCCTCTAAGAAATTGTCTGCAATTTATTCTGGCTATATCTTGTGTGGGCCCCTCTAGACTTTGAACTTGAAAATAAGCACTGTTTTCGCCTTACTTTAGCCCAGTGTCTTGCACATAGTAGGCACTTAATAAAAGTTTCTTGACCTATTGATTGTGTCAGAAGTGGGACTTGAATCCACATCATCTTTGCTTTCAAAGCTAGGTCTCTACCCACTGAGTTACATGAGTTACTTTGAAAGTCTCCATAAAGAAGTTACCTCAGATGTTTCAAGCCTGACCACTATAGGTTCTGAGAGTCATTCGCACATTTTGCAAGTCAGACAGCCTGGTGAAATCTGGGGCTGATGGGAATATGGGCTACATAAATTCCTTTGATCCGGAAATACCAAAATAATCTAAGAACAATGATTTTTGTCCTCTGTTCTCTTAACCTGTTCTAAAAGGAAACCTTAGGAGGAAATAAAGAAGTCTCTGTTCTGTGTAAATGCTTTTCTTCCTCTTTTTTTTTTTTTGTTCCAAAGTATATGAATGTCCCTGTGATATTCAAACGTATTAAATCTGAGTTTCAAAATGCCTCTTCCCGGTCAGCTAACCCTTCACAAGTCCTTAAATCTTATTAATAGTTCTGTGATATCATCAGCTGCTTTCTCTGAAATATATGCAATTGTTCCTACATGATGCAATAGAGACTGTGAACCAAATTATTAGCTCATGCTATTGGTACCTACATGAGTAATTTTGCAATCTGCATTTTGAGATCAGATTGTCACTAAATTCAGCTGAATTTTTTACTGTTAAGACATTGTTATTCAATCTAAATAATGAAAAAAATGTTCCCTGGATTCATTACAGCAATTATTATAACTAGATTAACAAAGCCCTTCAAGATTTTCAGAGCACTTTCTTCACAATAACACTGTGGTGTAAGAAAGCATTATTATTCAGTGTTATTTTTCCCACTCCATAGATGAAGAAAACTAAGGTTACATAGATTAAAGAATCTTGCCTGAGATCCTACAGGCAATAAACTGGAATTTATGTAACACTTTAAAGCATTTATGTAACACTTTAATATTTACAAAGCACTTTATGCCTATTTGATCCTCAGAAAAACCTTGTGAGCTAGATGCTATTATTATCCCCATTTTACAGATGAGAAAACTGAGGTGGATAGAGGTTAAGTGACTTGCCTAAAATAGTAAGTGTCTGAGGCAGAATTTGAACCCAGGCCTATCTTACTTGAGGTTTAATGTTCAATCCACTTAACCACCTCACTGTATTTGACTGCTAGTACTTAATTTCTTTATTTGCTGAAAGTTTACCGTACTATGCATTTTTTTCTACTTTTCTCTCTTCACCTTCTCCCTCCCTCAATATACACAGTAGGTCTGTTGCCTGACCTAATCAATGCAATTCAAAGAGCACAGGATTTGAAATCAGTAAACCCGGCTTAAAATCCTAGCTCAGATGCCAGCATGACTTCAGGCTCAGCTTTCTTATCTGTAAAATGAAAGGGCAATTCTAAGTATTCTCTAAAATCCTTTCTTGCTGTTAATTGCAATGCTACTTTTTCCTATTCCTTATCTTTTTTTTTTCTTTTTGGTCTCTCCACTACTTCCCTACAGGAGCACTAAATTTTTTCATGTTGGAAATTCTATATAGTATACCATAAACTTGTCAGAGAAAAGTTGTGATACAGAACTAATAAATAAAATAAAAATTAAAAAGATAAATCACGTAAAGAGCATTGAAGCTTACTGAATTTAGAGGAAAAATATCATACAAAATAACAAGATATTTCTAAAACTTGTATCCCCTTTATCAAAATGTCCAGAAGAAGAAACTCCAAGTAGTGACCAGGCATACTCTGTCATTTCACTGAAAGGAATCTTATTGACAAAATTGTTGTTTTCCAGTGAGTTCTTTGATCAGAAAACTTGTTGGGAGATGTCAGAGTTGGTTCATTTCAATTAAAGGTACAGGCAGAACACCTGGAGATACTTTGTTTCTTCATGTTCTTCTTCTTTAGAAAACTGAATAACTTATGGGGATCCAATGAGGAATCTTCCCTTTGGGATTGCATTGAAGCCTGTATTAGATTCCAGGTTTTGCTTCCACATTCAAGAGAGATTGCAGGGGAAGACATAAAGCCTGTATCTCTAGGAAAATTATTCCTTAAAATTTATGGAAGTATGAATATGAAAATCAGAAGGCCTGGTGACTTGAGTAACATAGAGAACTTCCAGTATGGGGACTGTCTCTGCCAGTGACTTGGTAGCTAAGTCCTAGAGCTTCCTGGGGCACCTCGAGGTTCATATGATCATAGTTTTAGAGCTTAGAAGTCACTGAGTCCACCTTCCCCCTTTTCAGGTGAAGAAACAGAGACCCGATTAGATTGTGTGCTACTTGAGGGCAGGAACTGCCTTTTGCCTCTTTTTTCTGGGGGGGGAGGCAATCAGGGTTAAGTGACTTGCCCAGGGTCACACAGCTAGTAAGTGTCTGAGGTCAGATTTGAACTCAGATCCTCCTGACTCCAGACCTATGCTCTATCCCCTGCACCACTTAGCTGCCCCTTGCCTCTTTTTTTGTCTCTAGGGCTTAGCACAATGCCTGGCCCATCCATGTCTTAGGCACTTAAGAAATGTTTATTAAATTGAATCAAATTAAATTAAATTGAATTGAAGTCACTTGCCTAAGGTTACTTAGTTAGCATGCATTAGATGGATTTAAGCCCATATCTTCCTAACTGCCACGATCAGCATGCCATTGACATATCCCACTTCTTCTACCTAAATGTGAAAGAGCCAGAACTTAGTCAGTCCTTTGTGTCTCTTATTTTAAATAACAGTGAACTTTTTTTTACTCTTCTTATTGACCTTTTTATTTCCTTTGATTTCTGCAAAAGCTCTCTTCAGTTGCCCAGTACTCATCAGACACATAAACATGAAGACCTGTGTTTGTTGTATCATAGATTCTTTGGACCATAGACTGTAGCTAGAAGGCTATCTAGTCTAGCTTGCTTTTGTTACAGATGAGGAAACTGAGGTTGAGGGAGATGCAATGATTTGTCCCATCATACAGGTAGTAGACACCAGAAGCATGATTTCAACCTGGGTTCTCTGACTCCAATCAATCAATCAATCAATCAATCAATCAATATACATTATGTGCCTACTATGTGCCAGGCACCGGGCTAAGCACTGGGGATACAAAAAGAGCCAATAGATAGCGCCTGCCCTCAAAGAGCTTACAGTCTAGTACTACAGAGCTAGTGTTTCCATTCTAAATTTGTCAAGTTTTATAAATCATCACTCAGGTTTAGAAATTTGATGGAACTAACATTTGGCAGGATATGTTCTCTTTACTTTCTTAATTTGTACAGCAGAGGTCCTGTGTTCTTCTCCACAAATATCCATGCCTATCTTCAGCCTGACCATGCTAGCTCTCCTACATCAGCATGACAACTTGTCTGTAGTCTCAGCTTAGGGCTGCCAGTTATAAACCAAAGATTCCACCGATTGTTTAGTGTTTCCATTTCAAAGATGGTGAAACAACATCGTCAGCTTTCAGAATTACATCCATTGGCAGTGGCAGTTTTTATGAGGAGGATTAAATGTGGTCATTCAAACTTCAGTTTTACATGGAGTGTTTTGACAGGAAATATCTCACCTAATCGTTTATTCTCCAATAAAAACATGGCTATTTTGAATCATGTTGAAAAGAGGTTACTACTGTTTTGTTGATAGGAAAATCTGAATGATTGGATTATTATTATGATTTTTTAAAACCAGTCCTCTTTCCATCTTACTAATATTCATTTGTTATTAAAAGTCAAGTCTGCATTTATTATTCAGCACTTACCATGTGCCAGGTATATCTTAAGCAGTAGGAATAAAAAAAAAAGCAAAAAAAAATAGTCTTTGTTTGCAAGGAGTTCACAGTCTAAAGTGAGAGACAATATGCAAATTACTATGTGTAAATAAGATATATACTGCATAAATTGGAGATAATCCCAGAGGGAAAGCACTGAGATTAAAAGGCCTGGGAAAGGGTAATTTAAACTTACTAAACTAACTAAACCAGACTTAGGATACAATAAAAGGTGCCTGTATTTCCCACCAATGCCGCCAATATTTTTAAAGTTTATTTTACTCATTGATATTTATTATCTGTTCATGGATTTGAGATTAAGTGCCAAGCTTTATTTACCTAGTTTGTCCCTGTACCACCCTACAGGTGATGTTACTTTACAAGGTCCGGTGTTCATTAGAGAGCCGAGCAACAGCATTTTCCCGGTTGGTTCCGAGGAGAAAAAAATTACTTTGAATTGTGAAGCCAAAGGCAACCCTTCACCTCATTACAGGTACAGTACTCAGTTTTGAATATAGGCATCAGTAACACACTCATAGTTTAAACTGTGATTGGACCTTCTTTGCAGTACATGAAAGCATGGCATGTCTGTGGTTGCCTGTTTGTCTGTGATGCTGCAGCTTGGCTTGGGATGATTATGTGCCTTTGCCAGTGAATGTCACTGGAAGCTAAACTAATTTCTGATTTAAGCCACAGCACCATTTGAGTGAGTATTCCCTTTCCAAAAGGAATCATGATAGCATGCCTCTGAATCCCCTGGTGCATTTACAGTATGATTATGTTTTTTTTTTTTAATATGATTCACAATCAAGGTTTTAGAAATGAATCTGTTGTGAACAGTGAAGGATGCCTATATTAATCTTTCCCCATTGAATATCCCTGGGGCCCCATAACTTCCAAACTAAATAGCACAGGGAAGTGGGCTTGTATTTGGCCAAAGGAAACTAGAACAGTGTTTACCAAGCAAAGTTTAGTTATTAATGAAGGAATCTTTAAGGATCCAGGGAGCTCAGATGAAGTCTGATTGATGTTCATAGTATTTTCTCCATCTTCTGTATCCCTAACTTTAATTTTTAAAAATTATGTCTTTGAAGCCCAGAAGTAAAACAAACTAATTTGGACTAACTGGTCAATAGAAAGACAATTTATAATTCAGATAATTTATTCATTAATTTCAAATAACTGGAAATAAAATAACAAAATTACTCTTAGGGGATGAACATTAATGAATAAAATTGTTTATAATTTGCCTATTATTTTAAAATAAACAATACTGATAATGTATCTTACAAAATAGCACTATACAATTCTTAAATTCTTTCACATGCATCATCTTATTTCAATGAATGAAAAGCATTTATTAAGGTCTTATACTATGTGCCAGCACTATTCCATGTGTTAACAATAGAAATACAAAAGAGAGAGTTCCTGTCCCAGGCTCAATGAGGGAGAGAAAACATGAAAGGCACATCATAGCCCTGGAAGGGAGTTTTGGTCTGGGAAACAGGTAAAGCAGTGAGGGGAAGAATAGAGTCGTCCTTCAACACATCTTTTTAGGGCCAATAGTAGTGGTGATTTAAGTACAATTTAAGGCTACTGGTTGAGAAAAGGACAGAGTAAAGATGAGGTGTCATGGTTCCAGGTAATGCTGAGGTAAGTCGTTTAGCTCCCTATAGATAGCGAGGTGTTACAATTGTACATACTCGTGTATGACATTCTGCTGGTGACTTTGAGTTCTGGAACACTGTAGAACCCCTTGAACAAGGAGGAGTAACTGCGACTCATAACTCCAAAATGATAACCTTATATCCATGGTTTCTGTGATACTCCTTTATTTATTATTTTAAAAATTAAATATTTTATTTTTTCCAACTATGGGTAAAAACAATTTTTAACATTAGTTTAAAAAAAATTGAGTTCCAAATTCTCTCCCTCCTTCTTCTGTCCCTTCATTGAGAAGGTAGATGATTTGATATAGATTGTGCAGTCATGCAAAATATTTCCCTATCAGTCATATTGTGAAAAAAAAAACAGATCAAAAACTCACACACAAATAAAGAAAATAAAATGCTTTGATCTGTATTCAAATAAGTTTTTTTTCTTTTCCCTCTCCTCCTCTGGAAGTAGATAGCATTTTTCATCATAAAATCTTCAGAATTGTCTTGGATCATTGTATTGATGAAAATAGGAAAGTCATTCACAGTTGTTCATTGTGCAATATTGCTATTACTATGTACAATGATTTTCCTTGTTCTGCTCACTTTCCTTTGCATCATTGCATGTGGGGATACTGATTTAAATAAGTGTTGACCCTAGACCTTAAGTCATCACTCCAGTGAACTTTGTATTTATGTTATTAGTTGAGCAAATCATTTTTGTTATGGTTAGTTGAAAAGTAAACTTTGTCTAATCCCCTTTTCCCTAAATCTCCCCAAATGAGGTTTCTAGATATATATATATATATATATATATATGTTAAATGAGAATTTTTTTTATTAATTTATTTTAAACATAAGTAGACAATAAGAAAAGAAAAAAAAATTTCCATGTGCACTACAGAATGTAAGAGAGAATTCAAATTATACAGCAACAAATTTCCATTTCAGGAAAGCCTATGTAATAAATACTACACATTGTGTTCAGAGCTGTCCATCTTTTCTTTGCTTCCTTGTAAGTTTTCTCTTGTTCTTTGCTCTGCACTTTTTACTTGGTTCTTTTTTCCCTCTTCCTCTCCCCCTCGCCCCCAAAAAGGCTGTGATTAAGTACAGATACACACACACACACACACAGAGGTACATATACTTACATACATATTCTTAGATATCTATAATCATACTCATATATGAGTAATACCATACTATAGTTGTTTGTCCTCTGTTTTTCTGAAGGTGGATAACATCTTCCTTCATAAATCCAAGTGTTTCCATATTTTTCTAAATCCACCAACTCATCATTTCCTATACCGTAGCAATATTCCAACCTTATACTTTCTAGTTACCTTAAAAAGTCTAAAACAATATTGATTAATATGTCTGACATATAGTTTCCCTATTTTTCTCTTTTGATTAAATCTATTTTAGCTCTTTGTCTGAGATCATGATTACTATCTGGTTTTTTTTCCTGCTAAATTCTACTCCTGATCTTTATTTTATGTTTGTGTATATCTCTTATTTCCTATCCCTCCTGACTCTACTTCACTTCTGCTTGTTACCTTGCTCTCCTATTACTTAACCTACTCCTCCAAAGATTCCTTCCTTATCCTCTCTTCCCCACCCTTTCCCACTCCCCTCTTGTTTCTATCTGAATTTAGAAGACTTTATAGTCTTCCAAATATGTGCTCATTTTTTATCCCATTCCCATCAATCTAGACACCCTTCTATACACCTCCTTATCCTATTCCGTAACTTTCATATGTTATAAATTTAGAAGATTTTTATTCCCCTCTAAATGTATTTATTGTTCTCTCTTTAACTCATATCTGGGGTTTCCTCCAAAAATTCCTCCCTTATTCTCTCCTCAATCCCTATTCTCTTAACTTTTCATTTCTTTCTAAATATAGAAGGTTTTATACCCTTCTAGATATATATGTATTGTTCCCTCTTTAACCCATTCCTGATGAGAGAAGGGTTCCAGATCTACTAGTCCTCCTCCCCCATCTAATTCCCGTGTCAGTTTTTCCTCTCACACCTCTTTTGTATAAGATAATTACTCTTTTTACCTTTTCCTAAATGGTTTTATTTTTTAGAATCACACCACACTCAGGTCTACCCCAATCTTTCTTTTGAACTATCCAATTACTAATAACAATCTTAGACCAATGTTTTACATTTCTTCATATAAAAAAGTAAACAGTCTCATTATTAAAAGTCCCTTATAATTAGTCTTTGATGTGTACCTTATATTTCTCTTGGATCTTGTATGTCAAATTTTCTATTAAGTTCAGCTTTTTTTGCAACAAAATCCTGAAAGTCTGGCAATTCATTGAGCGTCCTTTTTTTTTCATTAAGGATTATGCTTAACTTTGCTGAATATGATATTTTTCGACCACAACTCCAGTTTTTTCACTTTTTGATAGATATGGTGTTCCAAGACCTGGGGTCTTTTAGTGTCACCACTGCTAAGTCTTGCATGATTCTAATTGTGGCTCTGCCATATTTGAATTTTTTTTTTTT